TATTTTATTTACTATCAAGAATATATTACTATAATAGTGTTCTAACTTTTGTTAACTTACCAACTTTCGGAAATTTAAAAATTATTAAATTATTAAAAAATTATTAAAATCTAATACAATATTTTTTCTTTCGACGAATAGTTAGCGAGATATTATAAGTTAAATGTTGAAAAAGTTACCAAGTTTTCCTTAAATATATCCAAAATATAAATATATTCCAAAATACACTAAGCAAGTAAAAAAATGTTTCAGACAAAAAATTGTTTAAATTAATTAGTAGAAAAAGACAGTATAATAAAAAATTGAGGTTTCCATTTAGAAAAATAATTTTGACCTTCAAATTACCTTGAAATTTGGCCATTAAGATTAGACCAGTATGTCCCCCATCCAGGCCTAAAACTTTTGTCTGGAACATTTTCTCGTCGACCTCGAAGATTTCGAGATTTTCTAATGCGAAAGTTGAAATAGGACCCTGTATATATATCATTTAAACTTTCTGGCATGCGTGCTTTTTTTACTTACGAAAACGAGCGTGTCCTATATAAACGTAAAATATACATTGCACGAAGATGTTTTAGTACATATATCATAGATTACTATACGTTTCTTTCTTTTATACAATTGATAAGCTGATACATTGCTCACATACGCGCCCACCAGAAAGTTATAGTATATTAAGTAAAAGCATATGCGCTTTTTTCCTTTTAATACTAGAAGTACTAAATTATTTTCAGCCTTTCTGAGTTTTTAAACAAATATTGTGTTGATGTCAAACGCAAAATTGTGAAAGTTTCTGGACTATTTATTAAATATTCATTTTAATCTGATACAAACTTCACAACAATGCTGTCTTGAACATAACAAATTCAATATTTGTTTACAATACTACAAAAAAGTAAAAAATAATTTAATATACTACTAGTGTAAAGGTCACTTTACACAATGTATTGTTCACGATAAATTTGGGTTATATATCTATTCATGTAATATATTGTATAATGTAGCTAACAATACATGATTATTAAATGTGTACACATTTATTATATATATTTATTATTTATGTGTATTATTATTCAATGTGTATATTTTTATTAATTTAATTACTCCAAGTATGTTATTGTTTTCTAAATCCAATATTTTCCGAATTCTATCGTAAAGTATACATCATGTAAAGTGACCTTAATCAATAGTTCCTTTTACCCTCTTTTTTTTATATTTCTATCTATTCTGTCTTCTTATCCTTTCTCTATTTCTGTCTTCCTATCCTTTCTCTATTCTCTCCTATCCTTCATCTCAACTTTCGGAAATCCAAAACATTTTTTTTCTAATATTGTATTCCTTCTTATATTGTAACATATTTTTTATATTATAACATGTTTTATTTCTACATGTTATATTATAAGAAAATTATATGCATATAACAATTAATGCAATATTAAAGAAACTAACGTTTTACATTTCCTTCTGACGGAAAAGACCACCACCTTTTCGCGCTTTCCGTTGAGCAACATTATATACATAGACTATTAGTATAAGTGTAGAACTATTAGTGCAAAACTACATTCTTTATTAATTGTTACTACATGTAGTTGTTACACGCAAAATAATACATATATTAATATAAGAAATATTTTTTACATAGCAAATATCATTTCGTTTCATTTTTTATTTATTTTTTATTCTGTTTGAATAAACAATACGTAAGTGTTTCAATAACTACCAAAATTGTTTTTACGAAAATGACATATGTTGGCCAAAAGTGGATTTCTTTATTTCTTATTTCTATTCTTTCTATCCTTCATATCTTTATTTCCCTTATTTCGTTTCTGTAACGAATAAATATTTACATTGCACTTATATTGCATTTATATTGCAATTATATTATATTTATCTTAAATTGCATTTTACGTTTGATTTATGTAATAAGAGACAGTATGAAAAACAGGATATAGAAATGTGGCCATATAATCAAGCAATATAATCATTAGACTATGCTAGGAAGCATTACCGTTCTTGTATCGCGATTGTTAAATAAATTAATATTCCCGAGCACTGTGTATCTCAATAGAAAAGTAACAGATGCTGGCCGAAATCTGAAAGTATTTGTTATTCTAAAACGCTTTTGGTGTATTTCTGAGTACGTTTATAGATATTCTGCAGAGTGCCGGGCATTATTACTATTGTGTGTGACGGATTGCATAATTATATAATATTAATAATGCCCGGCATTTTTTTACAATATCTTTGAATGTAGTAGTCAGAAATATGTACTCGAAATATGTACGAATGTAGTACTCAGAAATATAGCAAAATATCTTTCAAATACACGAAAATTCGGTGATTTTAGGCAAAATTCATTTATCTACTACTCATACAATATTCCTCTAATGTCTACAACTTTAACAATGCATACTCTGAACGACATAAGAATTATATTATAATGTTTCTAAATACGTGAGGCGGGCCTGCGAGCGACGAAATAACAAAGGAAGTCTATAGCACGAGATTCCCGCGGCCGGCGAAGTTAGCTATATGTATCGCTCGACGAAGACAGAGACAACAGACGTCGTCTGCTCTTGTCTAAAGCTCGACGCTGGCCGAAGCACCGAACGCTCACGGACATGGAGTCGCTCGTTGTGTGCGCTACCCCTCACGCGCTATGCTATGCTACCGGATTGCTTTTTTGGCGTCACTGTATATGTATGGATATAAGCTATATTATCATTTAAATATAAAATCACAATGATTTCAAAATGAGTAACAAAAGACTGTAAAAACTCACTTTGTAATCATGATTAGATCATTTTCTTGTCATTTTGACGTGTTTTTGACGTCACTTTGATGTTATTGTGACTTTTCACTTTAATATTCAGTTCTAAAAGTCACCATAACATCATTTCAATATCAAAAAAACATCACCAAACCATCACGAAAACTATATCGAATGACATCATCTTGATTTGTCTTAAAATGACTTTTTTTTTATATCATAATTATATTATTATGATTTTTTGTTCTACTTGGGTATAACCCAAGAGGCTGCGACGCTTCTTCGATCATTCATCTCAGCGCGCGCTCATTCATCACATTTCTGTAATTAATAATTCGATAATTATTGCGATTCTCGTAAAACGGTATGGGACTTTTATCCCATTTATTGTTAACACAACTATAACGATATAGTCAAGCGATATAAATATTTCAGAAACTAAAGTGATTATTTTACAGTGTTTATATTTATAATATAGCACATATATACTTTTGCCACTTTTATATCATTTTTGTGTCATTTATTGTCAGTGACGTTTAAGTGACAAATAAAGTCATATTGACATCATTATGACTTTTATGTTCTACCTGGGTAGCGCGACCCAGTCGACCCAACAACTGTGGGCGGCGTGCAGCGAGACGTAAGTGAGGCGAAATAAAACAACGAATAGCGGTACGTTGCCTTTCCCCTTGCCGCGCACCAGCAATAGTTTCTGGATCGACTAAGCCGCGCTGTAGCCTGAACAGCTGCAACTAGGGATGCAATGATAAATCGATAATATCGAAATATCAAGAGACAAATATCGAATATTTATCGATATTTTTTTGTCTCCGATAAAATCGATATATCGATATGAATTATGCTGATATTTCGTATTTTTCAGTTACAGAGTTCTGGGAGCCTATTATGGTTCTACGATCGAGATGAAAATTACAAAAATAAGTGAATTCACTGGAATATACATTACGTAATTGGTCGATGTTTTAGTAAATTCGCTCATTTTCATCATTTTCACCTGAATCGTTGAACCGTAATAGATCTCTTGTTCCATGTATGCGGCAATCTCTGCCAAACGACTGCGGTTTATTATATATTTTCTAATAAGAAAATGACAATAAATTATATGAAGATAAAAATTTAAAATGATACCCCTATATGTATACGTTTTTTGATATAAATATCGATATTTTTCAAAATTATCGATATTATCGTTATCGATGGTACTGAATGACGATAATATCGATATTTTGAGAAATCGTTGCATTCCTAGCTGCAACGCTTCTCCAACCATCTATGTTGGCGCACTCCAACTCTTCAATTTCTGTAATTAATAACTCGATAATTATTGCGAATCTCACAAAACGATATAGGACTTTTATGTTTGTCTTAACCTAATCTAACTTCACACTTCGGGTTGGCAGCTATACGGCAGTTAATTGCCGGACACCCTGTATATTTCAGTAAATGAACAGTCAGTAACAAGTTGACGACGAGCTAGAAAATTTAATCTAACTTATACTAATTAGCTAATGGCTTTTAAATAAAGTCAGTTAATTACATTTGTACTCGAATATGTCATTGGAAACGTATGAGGATAGTCCCAGAAGTACCTGACCTGACGTATAGATAGCGGTTGTTGTTTGAAAAGAATGACTATGGTAGAAAGTACCAACTTTATAAAGCTTAAGTTTGAAGTTTGACGACGCTACATTGTTTAGTATTTGTTTGGCAGCCATCAATAGTGAACGCTCTCAGTGAATTTGTAAACATGGAAAAAATTTGTCATCGTTATGTGATACAATACTTTCATTTGAAAGGCCTCAGTCCAACCGATATCAAAGCGGAGCTAGATTCTACTCTGGGAGAGTCTGCTCCTTCGTTTACAATAGTAAAATATTGGGTGGCAGAGGCTGGTTAAACGAGGCTGTACGAGCTGCCAAGACGAACATCGCAGTGGTCGACCAAATGAGGTGACCACGCCAGAAATGGTGAAGAAAATCCACAAAATGGTATTGAATGATCGTCGACTGAAAGTACGCGAGTTAGCAGACATGGTAGGCATTTCAAAAAGTGCTGTACATCGCATATGGACTGAAAATTTGGATATGAGAAAGCTGTGTGCAAGATGGGTGTCGCGATTGGAACAAAAACAGCGTCGTGAGGATGTTTCAATCGAATGTTTGAAGAAGTTTCGCAGCAATAAAGCTGAGTTTTGCGTCGGTTCATAACCATGGATGAAACATGGGTCCATCACTTCACACCTAAGACTAAGGAACAGTTAAAGCAATGGACCAAGGTGGCTTTTAAGGTGGCTTGATGGCTATTTTGAGGAGCTCGACGATTCCTACTATAAATAGGGTATCGAAGCTATTGAACATCGTTGGGAAAAGTATATTGAGCTAAAAGGAGACTATGTAGAGAAATAAAGATATTTTATCCCAAATTTTTTGTGTTTTCTTTGTTAGGTTAGGTACTTCTGGAACTACCCTCGTATCTAAAAAGCCAAATCATCGCACGTGTGGAAATTCTATATTATTTGATATTTTTTCTATTGCAACACTTTATTTGTATGAGAAGAAAGTTTAACGTTAAACTGCTTCCTCTTCCCCTTATTTTGGTCACAATTTCCTGCCGAATATTTGGAGCACAAATTTCGAAACAAGAATAACTGATTAACATATAAATAGCACTAAATTTTTACGATAAATCTTAGTCGTTTTGACGTTAGTGAAGAAGGACTTGACAGGAGTATTATTGGACGATAAATGAAAACAGCTTATCGCATTTTGTAATGAAGCATTTTGTAATGAGCATAACTCGAACATATAATAACTTACAGAAAACAACCAAAACGAGCTGTCGGAGCGGAAAACGATGAGCCAATCCCGGAGAAAGAGATGGCGCATCATATTCCCATGGCGGTTATATTTCCACAATTGCCGCATCTCAGCGAGATTTACCTTAACTTCGGTATGATCTATGTAAACGATGGTTTCGAATGGCGAGATTTCGAGTGAGTGGGAAGTTTAGCAAGCAACAAGGATAAAAAGAACCGAACGCTTGATAAGATGAGATTTAATCGCGCAAGCAGGTTTTCCGTGGAGGATTGCGTGAATCTGGGAGAAGGAATTAAAGCTAGTCCGAAGCTGAGAAAATTCAACTTAACCCGTAGTAACTTGGACCAACCGCGAGCCGCCGCAATTCTCCAAAGAATGGCATTAAACCATAATGTTAGTTCGAAAACTATTTCTTCTCTCTCTCTCTCTCTCTCTCTCTCTCTCTCTCTCTCTCTCTCACTCTCTTTTCTCTTTCTGTAATGTAAATTCGAGAATTCGCATTATCCTTCATGATTGAATACGATTAAAATTGTAAAACAATTAAAAACGTAGCTGTCGATAAGAGTTGATTACAAAGTAAGTCCCTATTTACAATAAATATAATAAGTTTTCAGTTTCTTGCTCTAATCTTTAAACTGAAATTTAATTTTTGGCGAAAAGTATTTTCCGTGTCACTATTAGGTGTCACAATCCTTAAGCTTTACGGGAAAATAACTTTTGCCAGAAATTACGTTACAGTTTAGGACTTAGAACAAAATGCCTATTACACTCATTGTGGGCCAAGCCTAAATACTGTCAGATTTATGGAATTTAAACGAAAAATTTCGCTGTTTAATAATTTCTTGTCGATAAATTATATATCAAATCAGCGTATATAACTGCAAAGAAATACAATTTTACAAAAATATCTAACATATTCATTATACAGGATGTCTGATTTCATGCATCCCTTATCGTGATGCAAAATCATTTTACCAACAACCACATACAACTTTGAATTATTAATTAAAGAAAATTGGTGAATGTGATCACACATGATGCAATAGATGAGCGTGATGAAGATATTGTGTAGATTAGATCAGACTGCACAAGAACGTTATTCCACGTTAATTGCGAGCTTATTCCACGTAATGGCGAGCAAGGAGTAGAAAGTTGAAGCATTGTCTCACGCACGATCATTCATTAATCTTCTTTAATTAATAACTCAAAATTTTACTCAAAATTTTAGTCGTTTGCAAAACAGTGGAAGACTTGTCTATTCAGTATAACATAATCTCAAGCATATGATGAATATCATACTTATCAGACATCTTGTATAAGTCCATACTTGATTCCATGAAACATTGAAATAATCATAAATTATAAAATTAATAACTATTCTCTGAATACCCAGATATTTTTTATATCAGATAATTAAAAATAGCCGATTATAATCCCTTTTCAATTACTTCCGGGACTCCGTCCCTCCCAAGATTTTTTTATCAGATAAATTTGCCCAGAGTTCACAGCCTTGAACAATAGATAAATCCGGGATAGATGGGCATAGGGGATAGATGGTCAATTGCTATAATTTATTAATATATGCTAGGCACCAGCTCAGATCGGTCAGTTGTAAATTGGATGTACCACGAGTAAGTGTGTTTCACCCTGATGCCCAAAAACGCTGCTATTGTGAGTAAATAAATGTTTTATGTTTTTAATAACCTCCAAAATGTTTCACACATCGGAAAAATACCTTGTGAATACGTTTTATTTTGAATTATATCAAACTTGAGCTTAAACGACTAAGAAAACATCATATTTTCATATTTAATCTCGAAATTCGTCATCAAGACTATTTTATGCGGTATACGCATTTTTACGCGATCTCTCCAAGCGGGAATAGATGGTCCTCTTTCTTTAGGGTTAGATGGGCAGTCTACTTAGCGAGAAATAGCAAGCAATGGACACATCGGATCGACATTTTCTAAATATTGGGTCTGGGAAAAGTTCGTGGCGTTTTTCCCGATAGATGGCATCAATTGCAAATAACTCAGGAAACATAGATCACAGCGACACCACTAAACGCTCGTTGGAAAGGTGACACTTCGAGCGTTACTTGGAGTGTATAAACATCGAAATTGGTGCAGTGGTTGGAAAGTTGTTTGCGTTTGAAAATGGAGAAAAGTAATGAAAAATTGCGCTATATTTTGCAATATTATTACGACAAAGGGAAGAATGCTGCGCAGGCTTGTGAAAAAATTTGTGCTGTGTACGGTGAAGATACTTTATTAAAATCTGCTGCGCGGAAATGGTTCGCTCGCTTTCGTTCTGGTAATTTTGATGTGAAGGATAAGTCACGCTCTGGTCGTCCAATCATTGAAAAAGCTGATGAAATTCTTGAAAAAGTTCAGCAAGATAAGCATATCAGCAGTGTCGATATTGGTATGGAGCTAGGCATTGACCACAAAACTGTTTTGAACTATTTACACAAAGCTGGTTACAAAAAGAAGCTCGATATATGGGTTCCTCATGAATTGAGCGCGAAAAACATGATAGACCGAATTAACATCTGCGATGCGCTGCTGAAACGCAATGAAATCGAGCCATTTCTAAAACATGTCATAACCGGTGATGAAAAATGGATCACATACGACAATCAGAAGCGTAAAAGGTCGTGGATAAGGTGGTTGGGAAGTTTTGATGCATCCACCGTATAGTCCAGACATAGCACCCTCTGACTATCACTTGTTCCGATCTTTGCAGAACTCTCTCAATGGAATTAAGCTGGTTTCAAAAGAAGCCTGTGAAAACCACTTGATTCAGTTTATCAACCAGAAACCACAGAAGTTCTTCACCGATGGCATCTTGCTCTTCCCGAAAAATGGCGAAACATTATCGATAATAATGGAGCATATTTGGTTTAAATAAATTAATTTTCACACTATAAGAAAACCAGTTGAATTTTACTAAAAAAAAGCCACGAACTTTTTCCCAGACCTAATATACAGGGTGTCCCATTTTAATCCGGCCGGCTGAATAAAATTCGAGGATGATATTTTCCAGAAAAAAATGTCAGACAAATGTTGCTCAGTTCTAAGGGGGACATTCGATGCCATCAACAATTTTGACTTCGGGTGAAGGGTTCAAGGTCATTCAAGGTCAACTTTTTTTTCTTAAACGGGAACCCCTATTTTTCACATCGGCAATCGATTCTACGTAAAAAAAAATGAAACTTTTGTCTGAAGCATTTTTTTTATAACGCAAACTAATTTCACTTATTCAGCCTCCAAAATTGAAATTTTCAAACTTTCTGAATTTTTTACTCGAGAATGGTGGGGTTTGGGGGGAAATTGCAGAAGACAAAAAGTTCTTGGAATGCTGCAAGGAATTCACTGGAATTTTCGCATAGTTGATCGTGCACTTTTCTCCGCCAATGTTCTACCTGTCAGGAGGTACCTCGAAAAAAGTACACGATCAACTATGCGAAAATTCGAGTGAATTCCTTGCAGCATTCCAAGAACTTTTTGTCTTCTGCAATTTTCCCCCTAACCCCACCATTCTCGAGTAAAAAAATTCAGAAAGTTTGAAAATTTCAATTTTGGAGGCTGAATAAGTGAAATTAGTTTGCGTTATAAAAAAAAATGCTTCAGACAAAAGTTTCATTTTTTTTACGTGGAATCGATTGACGATGTGAAAAATAGGGGTTCCCGTTTAAGAAAAAAAAGTTGACCTTGAATGACCTTGAACCCTTCACTTGAGGTAAAAATTGTTGATGCCATCGAATGTCCCCCTTAGAACTGAGCAACATTTGTCTGACATTTTTTTCTGGAAAATATCATCCTCGAATTTTATTCAGCCAGCCGGATTAAAATGGGACACCCTGTATATACAGAGTGTTTCAGAACTTTGGCACACGGGCTCCGTAGGGATATAGAGCTAAGTAAGAGGAACAAAAAAGTCCTCTACCATAATATGAAAATCGTAATAGTTTTTTAATTATAACAGCGCTAAGTTAGGCGTTTTCCACACCTAGCGCGGCCTATTGACGCTCCGCGGCAAGCTGAGTGCATAGGGGCTGAGCGATAATGCGTTTCACGTTGACTGTGGCGATGGCACACAGTGGGCAGAACAACTCATTTTTTGGACAAAAATCTACCGACAGTGCAATTTTCAACCGATTTCAAAATTTTTTTTTTTAATTTACTCATGAAACATTGCTCTATAACATAGTACTGTGGCGTTGATGAAAAAAGCTGAAATTCAAAATGGCGGATAAAAAATGAGTGACGAAATATTGAATTCCTGTCGAATGATACTTTTCTCTTATAATATTAAATATATTTACACTGAAATTGTTTTTTGGGTCGTTAAGCATGAATTTAAGATCAAACATAACCCTTATCGGACGCTAGCTTTTTATACGTGATTCTCACTAGGTTGTAGCTGGTTTCGGTAAATATGCGAAAAATTTTCAGTATTATAAGAATAACATTTTTGTTAGGAATTATTTATTTTTTGAAGGAATATAACAAATATATGAGTTTCAAATAATTATTTATAAGTTTTTAATGTATGATATTTTTTGAAACAATCTCCAACAATCTCCAACATGAAGAAATGGTTTTCTGTTGCACCTTTCACAGAAGTATACTGTTGTTTTTTTCCTCCAGCCAACTTACGATTAGAACATACTAAGCAGTCATTATGTTTTCCTTTAGCATCAAGTTGCAAGATATGTAGTTTTCCATCTAATCTCTCTTCATTGTCTGTTGTTGATGGCATTCCATATCGCGCAGTTTCACCTTCACATAAATTCCCAATTAGTGACATAACTAATTTCTGAATAAAATTTATATGAGACATTGGTTTATTGTTGTTATGTTTACAATCAGCTTTATACAGAATATAAGAATTCAAGGAGGATACTTCAATTCCCCAGAAAAAAACTTTCCGCCACCATTTTAATGATTTGCGTAAAAAACAATACATAGATCCAAATTGATCTGCACGGTCCACTCCGCCCATAAATTTGTTATATCACTTCAGGTTTCTTAAGCTGTATAATTCAATATCACTTCAGGTTTCTTAAGCTGTACCTGATAGCCACCACGTATCATTCTTGATACAGTTTTCATTGACCCAGTATCATATGAACTAAGTATGGTAATAATTCGTTTGTCTCGCTATGATAAAACTAACAGCTTACTTTTTCTTGAACGGAATCTGATAACAGTCTTAATTTTCTTCTTCACTTGAATATTTTATAGGCATAACTTTTCTTTTCTTAGAATGTAATAAGATGTGACTGCTACTCTTATCATTAGAATCAAAATCACTTTGAGAATTGTTTTCAAAACATTCACTGCCACTATCACTATCGAAATTTATAAAATTTTCTTTATTCATTTTTGGGCTCAATATATTAAAAATTGAGTACAAAAGGCAGTGATATATCATTGGAGATGTCAATTGCTCCGTTGCTGATGCTTAACTGACAAGGCAATCGTACCCGCATTTTACAAAGAGCGAGTTTCGACAGGTTCCGTCTTGTCACCTCCCACGTGACGTACGACCGCAGCGACAAAGTACTGTTGTCACGTGAGAGGTGACTTACGACTGATAAGGGTTAAAATTAAAAAATCAAAATAACATTTATTATAAAAGTCAAAAACGTCGAAACTTTACAAGATTTATTGGATTTATAAAAGAAAGAATATTATGCACTTGGCACATAATTATTTAAAAATTTTTCATATTTTAATATTAAATTTGTACAAAATAGTAGAATTTTGTTATATTGCTTTATAACTGCTTATATAATAAAACAATATTTAAGCCCTTATACCACGTCAAGATATTTGCCATTATAAAGGTACTAGTTTCTTTTGTTTCTTTTTATTTTTTGTTTTTTTTCAATTTTTTAAATGTTTTTATTTATTTTAAATGTTTATGTTATATATGTTTGAATTTTTCCTACTTACATTTTAGGTTAATATTTTTATATTTTAAACGCCATTTGTGTGTGTGCCGAATTATTGCATATAGCATTAAAATCAGTCGTATGACCCAATTAAGAGGTTTCTCAATTTAGTCTATAGGCCGCGATGGGCGTGGAAAATACCAAATTTTACACGGTTATTACTAAAAAACTACTACGATTTTTACATTATGGTACAGGACTTTTTTTGTTCCTTTCACTTAGCTCTATGTCCCTACGGAGTCCGTGTCCCAAAGTTCTGACACATCCTGCATATACAGGGTGTACCATTTTTATGTCTCATCCCAAATAACTCTTCAGTATTGAAGTTTGAAGGAAAATGTTCTGAATAAAAGTTGTAGGGATTTAAGTGAGCTACCTTATGATGACCTTGACTTTGACCTTGACCTCTATTTTCAAGGTCAATTGGAGGTCAACTTGCATTTTTTTAATGGGAAGCCTTATTTTTTATTACACTGTTTTTTTCTATTAGTAAATTGGAACAACTTTCGTCTAAAATATTTTTTTATTGGTCTAATATTTTTTGAGATACTTAAGGAAAACTTGATAACATTTTCAATTTCAACTTACGATATCTCGCTAACTATTTGTCTGAAGAAAAAGTGGTACTAGATTTTCTTGCTGTATTTAGTCTCAAGAATATATTGTTACAATAGTGCCCTGATTTTTGTTAATTTGATGATTTTAAAATTTCCAAAAATCAGTAAGTTAACAAAGTCAAGGCGCTATTGTAACAATATATTCTTGAGACTAAATAAAGCAAGAAAGTCTAGTACCACTTTTTCTTCCGATAAATGGATAGCGAGGTTTCGTAAGTTAAATATTGAAAAAGTTATCAAGTTCCTCAAATATCTAAATAAATATTAGACAAATAAAAAAATGTTTTAGACAAAAGTTATTCAAATTAACTAGTAAAAAAAAATAGTATAATAAAAAATAAGGGTTCCCATTTAAAAAACGCAAGTTGACCTCCAAATGACCTTGAAAATAGAGGTCAAGGTCAAAGTCATGGTCATCATAAGGTAGCTCACTTAAATCCCTACAACTTTTATTCAGATCATTTTCCTTCAAACTTCAATACTGAAGAGTTATTTGGGGTGGGACATTAAAATGAGACACCCTGTGGCATATCTATTCGACTGTCATTTTTTCCTGATATCTAACATTAAATATCAAACTTATCAACACCGATCGGTCAATCGGAGTTGGATGGACCATGAATAGGAGTGTTTCTTCCTGATACACAGAAACACTATTATTATGAGTAAATAAATGTTTTATGTTTCTATTAACCTCCAAAATGTTTTACACGGAATAATACCTTGTAAATACGATTTATTTTGAATTATAACATTAGATCTGAGCTTATACTACTAAAAAACATTGTATTTAACCTAAAAATTCATTACCGAGATGACGTATGCTCAACTATCCTTTGATATGACCATCTATGACTGACATATGACCATCTAATCTGGACACCTGACCATCTGTCCCTCACAGAATATTTTTAATATTTCGTTATTATTGGCGTTCTATGAATTTTTTTCACAAAAACTCTTCTGCACCTTAAACATTATCCTCTACTGAATGTATTAATATGTTATTGACCATTGATTGCATTAATACAGATGAGTTATTTGCAATTAAAAAAAACTATGTCCATCTATCCCGGACTTACTCTACTACATTCGTGGCGTAGTATTTGTTAAATAATTGATTTGAAACTGTATGTTACTGTTAAGCTTTATTCGTTCCGACGTTTCTTTTTTTATCGCGTAGCAAGTTTTATTTATTTGGGTCACTGCGTTATATATTCAATTATTTCGAGCGTAGATTGAGGAATTGGATCTGTCGCATTGCAAGTTGATGGACACTGGCGCACACGCGGTAGGCGAATTTTTGTCAATACATCAGAAACTGAAGACTCTACATTTGGCAAACAATAACATAGGGTCAACAGGATTAGCTGGCATTATTCATGGAATATTGAAGAGGAAGTCGAGCTCACTCAAGAATTTGGATCTTAGACTCAATCCTTTGCAAGACGAAGGGGCTAATCACGTGTGCGCTCGTAAGTTTACAATTTAATTTTTAACATACGAAATATTTTCCACTACATCGAAAGAACAGTTTTAAAATAGAAATTTACGCAAATCATCAAAAACACGGTCTAGAAAATTTAAATATTAAAACTTGTATGGCTTCGAAATTCGATACAGAGCAGACATTTTGTGTATCAAAAAAGAATTCAATCTATTTTTTGCAAGTAGTTCCGCATGAGTTTATAAAAACAACAAGCGATAAGTTTATAAAAAAAGTGTTTAAAGATTCCTCGAAAATTTCTTTTTATGAACGCCAATATTACAATTCCGTAATAAGATCAAATGCAATAAAATTTCTACCAATTCCTAATAATCACACGAGCAATTAAATTTGATACTGCGACCAACGACTGAATAATTATGACGGATGAATGAGTACCAATGATCATGTAAATAATTCTCTCCCTCTACTTTGTCGAAAACGACAGCGAGATGGAAAATTCGTTTGTTCGCATTTTTCTTTTGTAGAAACATAGTGCAAATTCCGAAGATTATTCAGTGGTATTTTTGGCAGAACTTAATGCCTAAATAATATAAAGCTCACCGAAGTAAATTGAAATTTAATGTTGCATACAGTGCTACTTTATTTTAGGCACTAGTGAACATGCCACACTCTCTTACGAAATAAGAATTCACAAACTTCATATTCGTGGATGCATATAGCGCGCGTTCAAACGTTGACAAATTTATCAATATGCGCGTATATATGTAATTTAATGATAAAATGGTAAATTAATGATAAAGTAGTTCGATAATACTAAAATAATAAATTATGAAAAGATTAGCAAAAGCCTCTATGGAAAGTGAAGATCTTGTGAAAAGTAGCTTATATTCGAAGTGCTAAATAGACTTTGCTATGTATAGAAAATTAAAAACCTATATGGAACTGTATGTTTTTACAGAAACCGGGGTTTAAAAGGTACGAAATCAATAAATTCGATAAACTATCACTGAATCTATACATAAATTACCCTTAAATTATTACTGAAAATATATAATTCAATAAATTCAATAATTATGTATAATTCAATAAACTATCACTATAAAAATACTTCGATGAACTCAATAAACTATTACTGAAGATAACTCAATAAACTATTAATGAAATTAATTCAATAAATTCGATGAATTATCACTCAAATATCACTCATAAACTAACTTCTAATCTAACCTAAGCTGCCTTTCCTTCTTTATGAGAACAGCCAGCACTGCGCGAAATTTATTTATTTTTTAATTTTCTAGCTTACAATTGATCATCATACAAAAACGATGTAGTGAATATTATTCTGTTAATAACTTTTTAACGAACAATGAGCGATAGGTAAAATTTGTTAGAAAGTATTCAAAACTATTAGGTGTTTCAGTTAATTTCCGCTATTTCTTTGCTTAAAAACATTTATTTCATTTTTCTTGCTTAAAAAACATTTATTTCAATTATAAAATGAATTGATCAATAAATCAAAATTTTTTCCATTGTTTTATATTACTTTTTACCATTTTTCTGATAAGAGATGAATTTCGCGACAAAAAACAACTCAGTTTTGAAGTAATCCATTCATCCATCCACTTTCGGACTTCTTCGTAATTTCGAAAGCATATATCTTGAAAGCCATGCCGCATTGAACGGTACAAGTAGTAATCAGATTGGGCTAGGTCTGGAAAATACGCGCCATGCGGAAGAACCTCGAGCTCTGTCAGCGTTTGACGACTTTTGCAATATGTAGCTGGGCATTGTCGTGCAACAGAATCACTTTTCTCTTGTTGTGTGTGATATGTGATCGTTTTTTATCAAACGCTAGCTTCAAACTGTATAATCGTTGTTGGTACCAGTCAGCCGTAATAGTTTCATTCGGTTTTAAAATATAATATACAACACTTTCTGTTGCATACAATGGCTGCCTTACTTGTTGGCCATACGAGTCTATTTGGCTCTCCTCCGCGTGCTCGCCGGTATTGGAGTTCAAGAGCAGCAGGTCAAGACAATGAGTCACGTCTATTAAGCTGGCACAGCCATTTCAGCACAATCGCATGGGACTAGCACAGAAATTTAGTGCTCCTTTGTTATTGATTTGTTGCTCTATTCCCGATTTTGTTGCTCCAGCCATTTCGAAGAAAACAGTGGTTGTGCTAGCTTAACATTAAAGTTAGCACAGCTCCCCTCGAAAAAAAAATAAAAAACGAGAAACGAACACATATTTTTAAACTACGATTTTGTTGCTAATTTGTTGCTCTATTCCTGATTTTGTTGCTCCAGCCATTTCGAAAAAAAACAGTGCCGGGAGCCTATAGACGTGTGCTAGCTTACAAGAGTAAACTACACGGAAAAATTTTGTTGCTTACACAATTTCGGTCTTAATATGTTGTCTGATTTTATTGCTCTTAAGATATCCCAGTTTTTAATTTGTTGCTCGCGGTATGTGTTTAAACAGTACCCAAGAACCCATAGGTGTGTGCTGGCTACAAGAGTAAACTACTCGAAAAAAATTTGTTACTCGCCCAATTTCGGTCTCAGTATGTTGCCTGATTTTGTTGCTCTTAAGATATCCCAGTTTCAAATTTGTTGCTCGCGGTATATGTTTAAACAACAGCCGAGGACTTATAGGGCTGTGCTGGCTACAAGAGTAAACTACTCGAAAAAGATTTGTTGCTTGCCCAATTCCCAATTCCCAGCACACACCTATAGGTTCTCGGCTATTGTTTAAACATATACCGCGAGCAATAAATTTGAATCTGGGATATCATAAGAGCAACAAAATCGGACAATATATTAAGACCGGAATTGAGCGAGCAACAAATTCTTTTCGAGTAGTTTACTCTTGTAGCCAGCACACACCTATAGGTTCTCGGCTATTGCTTAAACATATACTGCGAGCAATAAATTTGAAACTGGGATATCCTAGGAGCAACAAAATCAGGCAACATACTAAGATCGAAATTGGGTGAGCAACAAATATTTTTCGAGTAGTTTACTCTTGTAGCCAGCATAGCCCTGTAAGTCCTCGGCTGTTGTTTAAACATATACTGCGAGCAACAAATTTGAATCTGGGATATCTTAAGAGCAACAAAATCAGACAATATATTAAGACCGGAATTGGGCGAGCAACAAATTTTTTTCGAGTAGTTTACTTCTGTAGCCAGCATACACCTATGGGTTCTTGGGTATGATTTAAACACATACCGCGAGCAACAAATTTAAAACTGGGATATCTTAAGAGCAACAAAATCGGACAACATATTAAGACTGAAATTGGGTGGACGACAAAATTTTTCCGTGTAGTTTACTCTTGTAGCTAGTACACGTCAATAGGCCCCCGGCACTGTTTTTTTTTCGAAATGGCTGGAGCAACAAAATCGGGAATATAGCAACAAATTAACAACAAAATCGTAGTTTAAAAATATGTGTTCGTTTTTCGTTTTTTATTTTTTTTTTCGAGGAGCTGTGCTAACTTTAATGTTAAACTATCACAGTCACTGTTTTCTTCGAAATGTCTGGGGCAACAAAATCGGGAATAGAGCAACAAATTAGCAACAAAAGATCACTAAATTTCTGTGCTAGTCCCATGCGATTGTGCTGAAAGAGTTGTGCCAGGTTAATAGACGTTCTTATTGCTGATGAATATAAAAACTAAATATGTAACTCCCATATAATCACAAGTATTAGCATAGCGAAATTGTCTTGTGAATCAAAAGTGTGCCATATGCTGCATTATTAAAATAAATGCAAGCCCGATTAGCAAATCGCAGCGTGTACGTGCATATAAATTGCATATTACAGTAGGTAAAATGTGACTAAAACTCCCATTACATACAAAAATGCATGAAAGTGTAATAAAACTCACTATTACCGTTGCAAAATCACCGCCGTAATTTCTTAAGGATGTTTTCTGAGTATACGCGCACTTATTTATTACTGAAATAATAGGCTGTGCTTTACACTTCTGAATTCAATTCGAATTTATCAATTCGATAGTTGACGATAATTTCGAGATAACGTATCGTCAACTATCGAATACCATTACCTTTTTAAATTTTCCCAAAGATTTGTTCAATTTTCGAATTATCAAAACTATGAAACTAAAAAAAAATAGATATTGTGAAAATAGTTTACAAGATATAAAAGAAACTATCAAATTTAAAAAAACATAATCATTACTTTTTAAGTGAACTCTTGCATCAGTCAAGACTGACTCAAAGGATCTCGAAAGTTATGTTGCCCAAGTATTTTGTTCGTCTATTTATCATGAAAAATAATAGAAAATATTCACAAATGAAAAATAAAACACAAAATATTTAAATATAGATATTCCTGAATTTAATCAGCATTGGAAAAATATTACAGATAAAAAATTCTCACATTTCAAAAAAAAGTAGCTGAATAAATTTTCCAATGTTGAAATATTGTCTTGAAATATTGTGATCAAATTTTCCATTATAATTGAATAAACTTAAAATACATATTGTTAGTTAGAATAAAGTTTTCTATAACTGTATGATCGAACGACACAATAATGCCGCAATGTCAAGTAAAAAAAAAAATGTTCAATGATAGAGACGACGCATATTCACGTCATTACAATGAATGTTGTGGTAGCTGTATTAGCTTTATCTCGAAATTTTGCGTCAAGTTAATCTTTCAATTGAGATATCTCAAAAACTAAAGACGTAATAGAAAAAGTAATGATATTTTTCTTATATAATATGGATGCAAGCTCCAATTGCGGCCAGTCTAATTAATATTGATGTGATGAATTCTGAAATCTCCAAATCTTATATGCAAAAGGCAATTTTTCTTAATTTATATTTCAGTATTATATATATAACCTAGTTATAATAAAAATGTATAACGAATTTATCCTTTAGGTAGCATCCGCGCAGCACTAAATATATTTGTATATAGGTATATGTACAAATATATACAAAAATATTTTGATATAAGAAAATAGAAATAAACGTAAGTACACACATTTTC